TAACACAAAATCGTGTACCCAAAGATAATTATCTTTCGCTTTCTCGACGTCATGGTAGAAAAGCGACAGCGCGCGATTACATTTAGAAGATTATTTTATAAGACAGCTCACATTAAAACCGTAATGTGTTCCTGTGATTAAAAAAAAACAGAAAGGAAGAAAGCAATAAAAACTAAAAGGATTTGCAGAGAATCCGCAACTCTATCTCTGTTCTCTATCGTAATTGTTTTTCTATCGTATCTTTTGCATGTATCGAATCCGCAAGAAATGAAATCGTGCTCTGTTAGGAGAGTATTAAATCGTTACTATGATATAATTTTTAGAGACTTGTGTCCTATCGTTTTGTTGAAATTTATCATGAAACTATCACTGGAAATCTGTCATAATTTGTAGTATATTAACGATGGGAGAAACTCAAAGTTCTTTATTGTATAAAAGAAACCTATCGTTCTCGAACGATTGTGTACGAACGATATTTGACTTGTATAATTACGATAGAAGGCGTGCATCATAATCTATCATCAAGTAGTTATACCAAGAATAGATGTTTTTCTATCGACTTCTTACAAAAAGCGTAACACGCTTTGGCTAAGTACATTCGTTAACAAAATTATCGTATAGGTAAATTTATGTCCAAATTTAGCATAATTTTAAATGAACATAATACTGCGAAACATTATCGTATTTGAAATCTTTTTTCATTTCTTTTAAAGAATTAAATCTGTACTTTAAGAAGCATTTGTCGTATTTTGAATTTATTCTTTCCTCTTCCCGTAGTCTTTTCAAAAGTAAAGACATGTTACGTCTCCAAAAAAATTGCACAATTTGACGTATCCTACGTGGACAATCAAACTTTTTTCGAAATTTCATGATATCTATCGTAAAGTATAGACTTTCTTCTGCAATGTAAAAGAAAACGGATTTTTTTCGATTTTTTTTCGCGGAGTTGCGACATATCAACGTTACCTATACATTTTTTTTAAATCGCTTGTAACGATGCACACCTGCATCGTCACTACTCCGGCCCGACCGACCATCAGTCGGGCCGTGCACCGGCGCGTTGCGCTAACAATAAACACCGAAAAACCGACACGCGTAAACAACCGATAACAAACATAAACAAAGCGAACGAAGATCACGCGAGAAGAAAACAATAGCGAGCGAGCGCCGCGAGCATGCGACGCACACGTGTACGGCGAGCGAAGACAAAGAAGCGTCAAGTATATAATCCGCGACGCCAAATTAATCAGGACCAGACCGATCCGGACCGTCAACCGAACTCGATGCTACACAGCGGAGAGCAAAGCCTACGACCGACTCGTATCTGCTTCCTCAACCTGCCAACGATCACATCCTCGCAAACCAGGACGGAAGCCAGTACGTTAGCTGTGCTCTGCCGATCTTTATCGACTCTAGTTTGCATCCCGTCGACATCCCGAACAAGGACCGAAGCCAGTAGGTTAGCTGCGCTCTGTCGAGTTTTCTCGACCCTTGTTCTCTGCCTTTCGACGAGCGAGATCGGGTGTGAATACGCCGACACATCGGCTACTCACGCCCCATCTCTTCTCTTGCGACGCCGACGGGCAAGCGAGCGCGTAGCCGTCAAAACCGCGAAGACAGCATACGATACTGTGATACGACTTCGATACCGCCGACACCGCGCGGTCCCCGCGACCAGCCACGCGAGCCGCGTACGAATCGCGAACACCGAATCGCGACACGCGACCGCCTGCCGAATCTCCGAGGCGAGCCTAGCTATCGCGCTATACGCTCCGCCTACCGACTTACCTGTCGCGGCCTACCGAAACCGCGATCCGGTAACTGGCGCCGTCACCCAGGAGC